TGGCGGGGGGGGGGTAAAAGGGCAGTACTATAAGTCAGAGAGTGGTTAAAATTTGATTTGTTCGAAGAAATAGTTTATTAGAATGTAAATAGTTAGACTTGATTTGTATTGAGAAACATATACACCCTATTATTAGCAGCGCAATATTGCTATCTTGTTTTATTGTAAACTCATTATTGAATAAATTATTACAAGTTGGTATTGTCCAAACATTCTTGCTTGTGTTTAAATAGTAATAAAAATATTTATTTTACATTTCGACGAGTTTGGGAAATTATTTATGCCAATAAAATGATTAGAAAATCGATTCAATTTGCATTAGTATTCTTGCTTGTGTACCACTTACAAGAGTTTCGATTAATTATCTCGCGATACACCCACACCCACACAAAAGAAATAAATAGAGTTCATCACTTAAAATTTCGATTGAATGACTTTTTAATGTCTGCTTGGGTTAACAAGATTTAATTATTTAAGTTTGATTTTCTACAAAAATATAGAATTTAAATACGCTTGCGAGAGAGAGAACGATATGCTATATGTGTAGTTTTTTCTATAGAATAATCTTCCAATATAGAAAAAGCTTATTCTAAGGAATTTCTAGAAAAAAAGAATGATCTATTCAAAAAATTTTGCTCGATATCTTCGAAATTATTTCATATAGTAGCTATACTCGAGAGAGAAAGAGAGAGATCTCCTTTTATTCTTACTCTTTCTCTCCTAGTTAATATTCCTGCTAATGCTAAATGGGCACAGAACGGTGTGACTATTGCTGGAGGTAACGGGGCTGTGGATGCCACTAATCAACTCAGCTACCCTCAAGGTCTCTTTGTTGATGATGATCAAACAGTGGTTATTGCTGACTACTGGAATCATCGTATCACGCAATGGAAAAACGGTGATACAATGAATGGACAAGTTGTTGCTGGTGGTAAAGGCCAAGGAAATGGATTACATCAATTGGATCGCCCCACTGATGTATTAATTGATAAAGAGACGGATAGTCTCATTATTTGTGATTGGGGGAATCGACGAGTTGTACGATGGTCTGTCGTAGTGGTACAACACAAGGTGAAATACTCGTCGACAACATCGACTGTTGGGGATTACCCATGGGTGAACAGAGATATATCTACATTTCTGACTACGTAAAACATGAAGTAAGACGATATCAACTGAGTGAGAAGAATGGCACTCTCGTAGCTGGTGGTAATGGTAAAGGTAATGGACTCAGTCAACTCAACGATCCGAGATATCTCTTTGTCGATCGACAACAGAATGTATACGTATCAGACAACAGCAATCATCATGTAATGAAATGGAATAAAGGTGCAAAAGAAGGTATTGTGGTCGCTGGAGGACAAGGTCGAGGAAATGCTCTGACATAATTGTCTCATCCTAATGGAATCTTCGTTGATACGTTGGGTACACTGGTCACAATTGAAAGAAAAATATGAATCACTTATTTGGCGAACTGGCCGTGTAAATGAAGCAATCTTTTGATATGCGAAATTAAGAAGCAGTGAAATTAGAGTCACACTTCATTGACTCAGG